AGCATAGTAGATATAGTATAGTATTTATAGAGATATATATCTAGACTTACTACTACTATGCAGTGCTACTTATAAATAATAATACTAAAGTCTTTAAGAAAGCTAAATATGCTATTATAGTTACTAAGTATAAGCTACTATAGCTACTTATAGAAGTTTGCAGTGTTACTACTTATAATATTTGCCTATTAGAGTGCTATTACTTAGCTGTCCTATATAAGCTCTATTATATAGAAACTCTAACCCTACTTACTAAAATAGCACTGCGTTTTACTAAAGTTATAGACTAAATACTTAGCGTTGCTGCGCAAAGTATATAGAAATCGAGTTTATATAAGATATTTTTTAATCTAAGTAAAAATTAATTATAATTTAGAGGTATTAGGGTTGCATAAGGGACTACTAAAATATGCTTCTTAATTAAGCAAAAACCCTAACGCTAAACCTGTTTCGCTACGATTTAGTATCCTCTACGCGCCCTTATATTAGGTAGAGTAGAATAACTCTAGCAGTATTATCTAGCGCAGTAGCATATCTATAATAGAGCTTACTAGGCTTATATATGCCTATAATAGCTTAATAACACTATTATTATATAGTTAGGTATAGTGCTATAGGTATAGAATATTAAGAAATATATATATAATAGTTATTTTATTATTCTATTACTATAGCGCAGCTTATATATAGGCCCTTGCGCAGTATAATTTATAATGGAGTTTAAGTTTATAATAGCACTTAGCTTATACTATACCCTCTTAGGGCTTATTTAGTCTTAGATAAGGTCTAATTATATTTAGAGTTTACCTCTTTATATTAATATGCTAGATTAAGCTATAATAAGATATTAACTAGGCCTAAATAATATATAAACTAAGAGTATTTTTCTACTAAGAGTAGTTTAGTAAAGCTATCTAAAGGTATTTTAGTTATTAGAACCTATTAAACTATAACTTTACTATCTCTATAGACCTGCCTTAGCTATAGGCTATAGATATTAATATGCTTTAGCTTTAATAATGCTTATAGTCTATTCTTTTAGATTAGGCCTATTATTTGCTAGTTATTATAGAGTATGCAAGGTTAGTACTTAGGATTAAACTATATCTACTTAAATAGCTAGTATAGACCTATTATCTCTTTTACTATATATAATAGCAAGAGTAGCTTAGCTTTAGTTATTAATATAGTTATAGTCTTCTACTTAGATAACTACTATATAATTAGCCTATTAAATAGCTTTATAAAGTAGCCTTATATAAATCTTTAAGTCTCTAGATTATCTATAAATAATGCGTTACTTAATAGCTAAAGTATCTCTTTATTATATATCTCTACTTTAGTAGTAGTTTCTACTAAGCCTAAGAACTTAATAGTATAGTACTTTATAGCCTAGAAATATATAAGAACTTAGTTTATATAATGCAAGTACTCTAGTAAAAGGTTTAATATATACTAACTTAACTAGCTAGCTATAAAAGATATATCTAGTTATAATATAACTACTATATACTAGATTAAGTCTACCTTTTCTTATATCTCTATAATCTAATAAAGCATTGCTTGCCCCTTATATTATTAAGAATAATAAGATAAAAGGAGAGGCGTTATAGCTATTCTACTAGTATTATTAATACTAAACTTAGTATAGATCTTCTTAATATACCTATATTAGCTAATCTAGAGCTTCTTATCTCTAGTATTTTAGAGGATACTAATATTAAGGAAGGAGATTACTTTGCTTAAATCCTTAATTCTATACCTATTATTTAATCTTAGCTTAAATTCTTAAATAAAATAAATATATTCTAGCTATGCAATAATAAGCATATTATCTATATAGAGAAACAGGATAAGTTCTATTTGCTTATTAATAAGTATGCATAGCTTATCTAGGCAATAATTAAATTATAGACCCTTAAGAAAAGATATAACTTTATTAAACTATAGCTTTAGTAACTTGCGCAATCTATATAGCGCTTTTTATAGTTTCTAGACTTTGCCTAACTAATAATACTCTAGCAGATAGGCAGTAAATACCTCTTTATCTATATCTATATTAGTAAAGGCGTTCTTAAAGTTAATTTAGTAATAGAGAAGCCTAAATGCGCAGACTAGAGCTATTAGAATGCAAAAGCTATAGTATACGCTTGTTGCTATATATATTTTGTCTAATATATAGTGTTAAAGATTACCTCTAACGCAGATCTATGCTTTATAATAGATAAGGTAGCTAGCGTTATTAACTTTATATATAAACACCTACTTTAGCGGCAGTACTTGCTTACCTTCTAGGTAATCTATAAGCTTAAAGGTCTTCTTCTCTTTAAGTAATATAAGTTTAGCGTCTGCAGCACACTAGAACTCTTTGCCCTTAGGATGTCGCTTTAGCTGATGCTAGAAGTCTAGTGGCAGTAGTGGGTCTCTCTGGTGCATGCGTATAGACTGTGCTGCTGCAAATGCTTAGGCTACTTGCTGACCGAGTTTAGCCCGCTCAAGTCGTAGAGCATGAGCTTGGCGTCGTGCTTTCTTCTCGTTATGTCGCTGTGTAGCTTGAGTTTGGGTGGTACCGACGGCGTCTTGACCTCTTTGTGATAGTCGAATGATCCGTCCGGTACTAGTGCGTAGGTTTTTAAAGAACAGATGCGTCAGTAGCGATGTCCCTTCTGTGTCCAGGTGTTTCTTGTGTAGCGCTTGTTTAACGTAGAACTAATTCAACAGACACTGGAGTTAGATACGGCTATTGCATAGGTGTGCTTCTAGTCTTAGACTGTAGGGTCATATCCTGTAGAGATGCTTCGTCTCTCCTTGAACCTGCAGGCGGCGCTTCGTGCCCCTGTGGATCGACTGGCTCTTCTGCCTGTTCTGCGGTATCGCCGCCGATGAGAAGCATGTCGTTGTCTGACTCCTCTACATCAACGTCATTTAATGTAGTAGAAAGTGCTTGCTCACGTTGCGGAAGATCTATAGACTGTTGTGAGTCGTACATGACGTTTTCGTCCATGCGTACGTCCCGTGATGTGATCACACGGTTGGACTGTGGTATCCAGACCTTGTGAATATTAGTTGCTTCAGTTCCGACAAGCCATCTAGTGAGCGCTTTCTCTCGTAGTTTCGCTCTAGCTGGACGGTCTCTCCGGTTCTTGATAAGAACGTAAGCTCGCGATCCAATGATTTTCAAGTTCGAAAGGTCAGGCTGGCGACCGCGCACCATCTCGAACGGTGTTTTCCAGTCTTTGCGCTGCACTGGAATACAATTCAGAAGGCGTGTGGCGTGTGCAACTATGTGTGGCCAGAGCTTGTGTGGTAATCTACTCTGTATGCAAAGTTTTCGCGCAGTAGTCATAATCACCCCCCCCAGAACGTTCAGCAAGACTGTTCTGATCTAGGGTGTCTAGGGGAGACGGTGTAAAGGTGATGCCCTTTGCGGCTATTGTCTCCTTCTACTTAGTACCTAAGCCCTTCTCGCCATCTGATCAGATGTATCGTGTGGTAAATCCCTAGTTAGTGTTGGTGATAGCTAGGAATTCCTTGGTCACAGACACAAGCTCATCTTAAGTCTTGTTTAGGAGATTAAAAGATATGTGGTACGCAGAGTAGTCACAGTAAAAGTGAACCACCCATGAGTCAGCGTTGAATGCTTCTTCCATGTCGATGAGGTCCATATAAACCTTTTCGAAAGGGTAGTTCCCTTTCCACGATGGAATTCTTGATACTTGTTTGTGTGCTTGTGCAAGTTCGCATGTCTTGCAGAGCTCTGCATTCCGCTCAAAGTTTGACGTACTTAGCGTTACACCTTTTGTTGTTTTAGACACATGCTTAAGAGCTTTTTTGCAGATGTGTCCTAACCGTGCATGCCACACGTCTATTGTTGCTGAGGCATTCTTTACATCTTAGGACGTCTTCTTTGTAGCAAAGGCATGCCCTGTGTTTTTAATAGTTGTGTTCTTGTTAGAAAGTTGCTGTGCACTGTGTAGCTTAACAACTCAGAAAGCGCCTTGCTTTGTAACTTTAAAGGCCCTTAAGCCGTCTAAGAACTCTACCTAGCATGTTCGTGTGTTAAAAAATATGCCCTGTTTCTTAAGCACATGTGTGCTTAGAAGGTTCTAGTAAAAGCCAGGTATATATGCCACATTTTCTAGTTAAACGAGACCCTGACCTGTAGGAGTTGTAACATTAATGCCGACATTTCTAACACCTTCAATGTGCGTATTAGTATTGCTAAAGCTAATAATTTCATCTTGTATTGGCTTGTATTAATTAAAGCGCAATCTGTTGTTGCAGACGTGTGTATTTGCGCAGTTGTTAAGACAAAAACAACTGTCGTGCTCTTAACTTCGCGTAGTGCTTAGTGCGTATCTGGAAGTAGCGAAAGAAGCCCTAGGTCTAGTCTGGCGATTACTTGTTATCGTGACAGAGCTGGCTTGGCTTCCCGCTTTCTCGGGTTGTTCATCTGCATTGTTGCCCAGAAGAGGATTGATTCAGTTTACCGTGACTCTAAGAACCATGATTAGTAATCGGAATAGTAATCGGAAGATTAGTCTTCAAAAGATAAGTTCAAAGTCAGTTAGTAATTGAAGAGATTCGGGAAATGAGACTCGTAACCAGAAGAGCGATTTGTAAGACGAGAAATTGGCAATGTACGTTGAGATAGGGCAATTGCGAGATGGCATGAAGATCTTAATCTTTGTCTTGACTATAAAAATCAAACGGAACCCACTTGCGAAAAGAACCAACTTGTGACAAAAGCATCTATTCGGCACGCATTACTCAATATGTTTAAAACTGCTGTAATGGCAAAGTTCGTGTTGGGCTTTTCACTTTCTCTCGGGCTCTCAGTCAGCGCTACAGTAGGCTCCCCTGTTTCAGACGCTTCCTGTCACAAAGTCTTCTTTAGCTGACATTACAAAGGGTCTCTGTGAGCGCAACTACAACATCAGCACGGTGACTAAGCTCTGACTCTATCCAACGCACTACATGCTAACTCGGGCTAGTATGACATTGCGAACACCCCTCACCAGCATCTTGTTAGAGGCGCGAAGCTACCTTCCGGCACCACGTATCGATATGTCTTCTCTCCACCAGGCGTCCCCGACCTACCCTATCTCCTGTTCCTACATGGTTACCCGGAAAGTTCATACGATTGGTATAATCAGATTTCGCACTTCGCTGAACAAGGTTATGGCGTAATTGTGCCAGACTTACTAGGCTACGGCGGTACTGATGACCCATCCAGTCTTGAAGACTTCAACTTTAGGAACATGACTCAGGATCTGGGCCAGCTTCTTGATTGTGAGGGTATACAAACAGTGTTTGGCATATCGCATGATTTGTAAGTCTCACTCCAGACCAAATGAGAACCCAGAGGAACTTGTCCGCTCATAGTATATTTGTAGTGGCGCGCCGTTACTCTCGCGATTTATTAACTATTACCCTGAGCGTCTTACGGCCGTAGCGTTCCTTGGTAATGGTTATATCCCTCCTCAGGCACGACTGGATATTGACGCGATCACTGTGATCAACAATGCATCAGTAACCCGACATGGCTACCCGAAATATGGTTATTGGTTGTTTAACAACAACGAAAATGATACTTCAAGCGACTTGTTACTTGACAGGGCAAGTGTCATATTGTGCATCCACTTCTTACTAGCTTTTACTGACAGGCTCTAGCTTGACTCCTTTTACACAGTCGGTTACACATCGAATTCGACTTATATGCGAGATCATTTTGCGCCTATAGGCGCACTTGCAGAGTGGCTTCGCGAGAACAGAACTTCTGCAGACTTTTTTACAAGCCCTCTGCATCAAGAGAACTGGAAAAAAATCGTTAGGGCCCAAGGCGGGCTAAAAGGACCATTGAAATGGTATCAGTCCATGATAGTTGGGATCAACAACCCACAAGAAGATGGTAAGGGCACTCCAAGTGACTGGTTGTCTCTTTTTCTAACGTACTTAGATCTCACTGCGTCTGGGATTATCCCGCAGCCAGCTCTTTTTGTTGGTGCAGACAGAGATGCAATTTCAATTCCTTCAGAGGAACTAAGCACTATGTTGCCATTTGCTAGTAATATCCGGATTCGATCAGTGGACTGTGGTCACTTCCTTCAGCTTGAGGCGCCGAACGAGGTAAACGCACACTTGGATGCCTTTATAAGGGACGTTATAGCAACATCGACGTCGGACTATAAATCAATCTCTTCATGCTGGGAGAATTGCTAGCTTAGGCGAAGGGGGAGCTAGGTAGAGGCAGTTATTCTTGAGTCTGTTAAGTTATAGAGAAGATAGCAATTAAACTTCAAGCATCTTTGCAATAATAACAATCTACTATAATACGCAACATTAAAGTATTAAACTATCTATGCTAGAGTAGCTTTATAAAGTCTTTCTCTAGAGTAGTAGTGTATTATAGGCTCTAAAACTGTTATAATATTAAGTTACGCCTCTTAACTAGAAAACCTTAACATAATAAATCCTTAGTAAAACCCTAGTAATAAGACTCTCTACCTTAGAGATCTAAAGCCCTCTAAACTAGACCCTCTCCTACTGCTACACCTACTATTAGCGGCCCTACTGTTAGCTCTACACTTTAGGCCTTAGCAGTCTCTACACCTCTGTATTTTTACTCTAGATTCTCCGTGCGAAGAAAGATACTAGATTAATCTAGTTTCTACTTAAACATAGCCCTTAGCGGCTAGCTCCTTATATTTATAAGTAATGTATAGAGGATAGATAGTTTAATAGTACATACTAGAGTAACATAGATAAGAATAACAATGTTAATATTACTGCTGCCGCGATGCTATAGTTGTTATAGCGGATTAGTCCACGTAGATAGCGCATTCCATTCTGTTTTAAACTTCTTAATGGCTGCTATAAAGTCTCAGTGTTCCTCCTTCTTATCTAGTACTGTCTGTGTGTCACCCAGCGCGTCTTCCTATTTGTTCTTCTCTGCCTGTAAGGCATACTGATTTTCCATCCTAGGTAACTAAGTGTTGACGAGAAGGTTAGTTCTGGCCTGCATTTAGGTATATCTAGCCTTCATAAACCTGTGCCAGAAGGTCTTGAGGTCCTGCTTTGTCCAAGCCCGATACCGAGCGCGCGGGTGACTGGGCAGCAGGGTCGTGTTGAGGGCGTCGAGCACATCGCCTATACGGTCTGTTTGATCCTTCATGATTGTCCTGATCTTCTGGTGGTCCTGGTAGATGCGAGAGCCTATGATGGCGCGCAGACTATAGAATATCGTTCTGGCTTTCGAATATGTAGCCAACTCCTTGGTCCATTGGTTATCTCCCTATGGCTTTTTCTTTCCCCAGGGTCCAGTCTTACTAGGCGTGTTGATTGCGGACTTAAGGGCGACAAATTCGTTCCTCTTGAATGTCTTTAACAGGAACTGCGCCGCAACGTGCATAATGGGGTTCTAAGCTGTACCAACGCTACCTTGCGTGTCTTTGCTGGGCCACATAAAAGCAGGCACATTCCAAAGGTTGTTGACATAAGCACAGAAGGAGACCTTTCTTCCCAGGGCTGCATTTAGATTCGCGTTGTCAGGCTTAAATGCCGTAGCCTCTAGGTGCTTGAAAAACAGGGCAATCATCTAGGCTTCGAGAACGTGCTCTGTGTGATACTGGGTGTCCGCAGCGCGTCCTGTCAGGGGACTGCTAAAGTTAAAGTTGCCGCAGTCTTTAGGATTGACCTAGCCCCAATCCTCGCCATTCAGCTCACCGCCTTAAGGAAAGTCGTTCTTAATGTCGCAGGTCTGGTCACAGGCATCAACAGGCTTCCCTTTACCTGATCTCTTGTCTAGCATGTGCAGTAGCTCGCTTCCTGCGTAATTGCCATGGCTATGCCTTTGCTGCTAATAAGCATAGAGTGGTGCAGCAATAGCGTTTTTATCTATAGTGGACGTTAGCGTCAATACTGCCCTCTTGCGTTTTGCATTAGTCTATACGCCGCTCTTATTCTTCTTCTCTAGGGCATTATATGCTTGCTCACTTAGTGCGATAATATAGGCCTTATTAGCTGCAATATACCCCCTATCTTGCTAAGCAAGAGCTTCTTAGTAAGGTAAAATTATAGTTAATACCTACCTACTAAGTACCTACCGTGTCTATATACTAAATGCGTAGATTTATTAAATGCGTAGAATCTCTCTAACTAATATTAAATAATATAAGGCTACTAAGCTATATATAATATTTATTATTATAAGAAATCTTAATAGAGTACTCTATTAGCCTATGCAATAATAGTGTTCTATATAAATTAATTATATAAAGTTATAGTTCTACTACTATAGGTAGTATAGATATAAGGTATAGTAAGAAGCTCTATAGTAATAATACTACTATAGGCAGCTCTATTACTATACTTTTTAAATATCTTTAACTATAATTTACTTATAGCCTTGCGCTTGCCTTAGTTAGGCATTTAGATACTTTTTTTAGCATTATAATTGTATTTTTTAGCTTCTCTAGTAGCCTTGCATTTAGCTACTCTCTTAGTATAATCTTTCTTCTTCTGCCTTCGCACCTTAGTAGCTACCTCTTAAGCTACACGCTAGTTAACCTTCTCCTACTCTTCTACTAGCTTCTTAGTAGTAGTAAGCTCTTTCTTAGAAGTTTTCTTAAGCTACTTCTCTATATCTAGGCATTAAATAACTTTATATTAATACTTAGCTTCTTAAAGCTTACTTAGTAACTATATTATAGCTCTACTATAGTATTCTTACTATTATTAAAGAGATAAAGAATAGAACTTTTTTAATTACTTCTTCTTCTACTTTAGTAAGCTTTTAAGGCCCTAGATTTTATTATAGAGTAGTTAATTTTATATAGAGATATAGTAGAGTAAGTATAGTACTTTCTAAGTATTCTTACTATATTTATTATTAGCAATACTTTATATAAGCGTTTTAACTTTAAGCTAGTCTTTACTACTATATATAGAAGTATTAGAGTTAGTAGAAAAGGCCTTAGATTTCTTCTATATAAACTTATCTACTATAATACTTAGATTAAGTAGTGCTATTTCTATAACTTTAAACCTATAGAGAACTACCTTTATAGTAAATATAGCTACCTAGGCCTTCTAGAATAGATAGAAAAAGTTACTCTTCTTTATTAGGAGTAAGCCTTAGCTCTTATAGGTAAAGATAGTAAGGTAGTACTTATAGCTAGATAATAGAGGCTTAAAATAAATAATATTTAATAGCTAGAGAGTATATATTAAATAGAAGAGAAGTATATATAGAAGTATTTTATAGTTACTATAATAAGTAATAAAATCTATTATTATATAGAATCTATAGCTATTAAAAATTAGAAGGTGCTATTTTCTTTATACTTTCTACTTAGTATAGTAATTAAATATCTATTTAAGCTAGGTAAGGCCTATATTATTATTACTTTATCTAGATAGACTAGTTATAAAGTATACTAAATATTTTCTAGAGTCTATATTATTAACCTAGCTTAATTATACTACTTTTCTAGAGGTAGTATAGATAATACTAAAAAGTAATACTTTTTTATTAGTATATATATATACTATTACTATTACCTAATTATTATTACTATTCTAGAAAAATACCTTAACCTTACTTTTATTAAATTTTCTCTTACTAAATACTTATTTTAAGTATTTAATAATAATATAGGTATATAGTAAGTAGGCTAGTATAGTAAGTAGGCTACTTTTACTAAGACTATACTAAAACCTAACCTATTATAGCCTAAAATACTATAAATTAGCGCTATATAAAGAAAAATAAGCTATAGTATTACTTAAGAACCTTATCTACTCTATTCTTATATATTTATATATTATGCCTACTTTCTCTATACTATCTATAGTATTATTAGGATAGTTTACCTTCTTTAGTATATACCTACTTCTTTACCCTCTTACTATTACTATATACTCTAAACTTCTATAAAGTAGTTAACTACTAGCCTTCTTTAACTATAAAGCTTTTCTTAGTATAAATATATCTTTTTTTATATAATTTTTATTATATAGTAGCTTTATTAGCTACTTAAAGCTTACTAATTTTCTATTAGGCTAAAACTAGCTTATATATAATAATTACTACTCCTTTTAATACTTTCTTAAATATCTTAACTATTAACATAAGTGTATAGCGAGTAACGCAGTTAAGCGAGTAACGCACCCTAACAAACTATTAGGCCTTCTACGTGCAATTACTTAACACTACAACATTATAATATAGCTAACAAGATATATCCTTAATTACTAACGTCTACTATATCTTTTTTATATGTGCGCAAGTTGTGCCCTGTCTTACTGCAGCGCTTGCAGTGCCTTTTGCCCTGCTTGCCTGCACCTGTTCGAGCCCTACCCTTATGCGTTTCCCCCTCTACCTGCGCCTTAACGTCGCGTTAGGCTATCAAATCCTCTGCCTGTTCCTTTGAGAGGTCTCTACCCTTCTAAATCCGCTTTCTTTTACGTGATTTGCGCTTAGAAGCAGCCTTGTTCAATGCTTCAAGCTGCAGCACTCAGGCTGCCAATAACGTCTGCCTATGTAGTAGCATTGCAGTGCCTCTCTGCAGCTAATTAACAATCTCTACCATTAGAGTTAGTAATAATCCTTAGTGCTTTTAAATACAATCGCGAAGCAGCGTTAATTAAGACTCTATCTTGTTGGCGTTAGTAGGTGTCTTGGGGTTCTATTGGGCCCCCCCTAGTAGAGGTGGTGTTAGCGCCTAAAGCTTAACATCAAGCTTTAATAGCACTACCAATAGGTTATTAGGTACTAAGCTAGTTGCCTTAAAGCTTAATATAATGTTTGCCTTTAAGAACGCCTTCTTAAAAACCTTTGCAAACGTTACAATAAAGGCCTTCTTATTAATTCGGCCAATATAGTCTGTTGCTAAGACTCTAATCTCTTTACTATACTCCCGCTTTAAGGGGGCAAAACAGCCTATATTAAGCGGCTGCAGGATATGCGACAAGTATAGAGGCATATATAGAGTAATTATCTTATTCTCCTTGCAAAGATCCTGGAATGCAAGCGACTTATAGCTTTCGTGGCCGTTAATTATTAGTAGCACATGGCTACCTACCCTCTAGCCCTTAATCTGCTTAATAAAGTGCCTTAACTAGGCTATACCAATATCGTTTATAGTCTAGCCGTTGTTGCTAACCCTAATGCGCTATTAGGGCCTTAAATTAGGGTACTAGGACGCGTTATAGTTCTTTGC